TTCCAAAAAGAGCTTCCTACAGTCATGTCAGTGGTGCAGGTGTTCCCCTACCTGTTAACCACATCGTTTTTATGAAATATTGATAGAGCTCTACAGAGATACAATATCCTTGACCAGGCATAGCGGCTGTTCCTAGCGCCTGGAGTGAGTTCAACCAGGGGCTCACATCCCCTCAAAAACAGCCGGCTGCCTGTTGACGGACACGTTCAGAGGAGCTGGGCGCTACGTGGCTGCCAGAGCTCATTTCAGAGGATACCACTTAAGTCCCCTCAAGGACTGCCGCCTCTGCCACCCCACTCTTCTGGGCAACGGCAAGACCCCACAGGAGCCGGCTCTGAGCACTGGCCTGCAGGAAAGTTGCAGAGAAGAAAAGCAGTTTTTCTGTGGGTGCTGGTAGGACCATGCCTTGTCCAAGCATTGCAGATTTGTGCAAAACCTTACAGCTGGCACCCAGCACCACGCACTCTGAAGCCTGAATAAACAAATAACCCACCTGCAACAGCACTCGGGAGGATTCCCCAGCACTGGGACAGTGGTCCCAAAACTTGGCTGCCAGCCAAGCAAACCCACTGGCGATCAAGTCATGCCAGATTTAGAGGAATCTTTCTTTTAAGATGTTGGCTTTCCCAGAGACAATGAGAAGAATCGCAGCATTGCCCTTTTAAGGAAACAGATCAGAACAGATTCGTATTTTGAGATTCTGGGATTTCAGGTAAGATGCATTTTTCAGCCCTGCATTCAGTCCTGCTGGTATATATAGAGGTCTAACAGAAAAAAAAATTGAAACAATTTTTTCTAATGACATTTCCAGACAAAAAATTTTAGCCAAAACAGCTAAAAATGTTCAAACAACTGAATGGTTATCTGACTTCTGAACAGTTAAAAACTCGCCTGTCACTAGTAAAGTGAATAAATTCATATTTTATAAAATAAGATCACTCAATGCTTTTCTGAACCCCATCAAATTCTTGCCCTCAATAATCAGATAATTATCCATTTTATAAAAACACAGCCACCAGACGCACCACCTTTTTAGTGGTGCAAGGGATCCTTTCACGCTGAAGGCACAGCACCCAGCAGATCTTCTGTACTACCACTCACCATCTCCAAAGCTGATCCTTGCCAGTGCTAATTATTTTCCTTTTTTTTATTGCAGCATTAACCCTTTCATTGTTCTCTTCACCTAGAGGTCTTCCCTGCTGTTTAACAGTTCTCATTGCCCATCTTAAAGTCCTTTCAATTATCGTTTTATGATTTTACTGACTAACTCAACTCTCAATTAATATGGTTCTAAAACCCCTTTGGCTGTGAGAACTGATAAATAGGAACAGAAGACTCTACTTTTCTTCCATTTCACTTCATTCATTTTAAGTGAAACATGTATGAAAAAGACAAATGATACATTTTCTATTACCAGATACTAGTTCATATCCTCCTTACTCTTTCCTTTTTAATATCATCATCAAAAGTGATGCACTTCAATTCTTTTAGGCATACTTTGATGATATTGCAATATCCAGTTTATGGAAAAATCAAATGACATTTTTTTATGTCAGCAGCACACTCTGCTATTTCCCCACTAAAAAGCAACATTTAATTTTTGAGTTGCACATTTGCAGCAGTTGCTGTGGGCGGAGAGTCTGCTTATTTATTTGGTTGGTTTTTACTACAGTGTACTGTCATGGCAACTGTACTGAGGGCGAATGCATCTGGAGGTAATTTATATATGTCATATTGACTGCAGTAAAATTGGCTTGTACAATTTAAACTTTTTCAACCACTGGGCAAAGGCAAAGTTAGCCTTTTGAGAAGCAGCTTCTCCTTAGTAAATAAATAAATAAACAAACTAGGCAGAGTAATAGGAGCAATGCCAAATGTTTCTTGGTGTTTGGATGCATAGCTTGCTGCACACTTAAATTAGGTCTGATATCTTGGGCAGTTACCCTAGTTCTGCTGATGCACAGTAGGCTTTTCATCCTGCTAACGTGGGAGGCAGCAGTTGCACCCCGCAGAGGCATCGTTTGGGCAGGTGGTGGCCAGACCTGTCTCCCCTGGCACGAGAAGGCATCGCCATGTGCTGCCCAGACAAGTGGCAGATCCTCTCGTCATGGGGACAATGCAGATTCTAGCTGCCTCACTTTACATAACTTCTCCATAACATGGAGAAACTCGACTGAAATCTACTAAAAGACTAAGCACACCGTGGCATTAAAAGGGACTAAATTGGGCCACTGGTGCAGTTTCAAGCATAACATGCCCAAACTCCGCTACACGGCTTCAATGGTCCTTCTCCAGCCGAGCTGCCACTCTCGGCATTGCTTATTAGCAACGTCTAAAGGTTCCTGGCTGCCGCAGCACTGCCTTTCCAATGCAAATGACTTGGATGCACTTGAGAACTCTGGCTCAAAGCATTTCTTGATATTGTAACTGGATCACTTTGTGAGTAAACCAAAAGAGCTATGAAACCCTGAGTTACAGTTGGGCAAAAATGACTGCAAGTCTGATAAATTTATCTAGCCTCATCTTGCTGCGAGGGGGAAAAAAAAAAATCTTAAACCTTTTGAATACCTATGTGATTGCAACCATTATCATCTCACCGATGAGGCTTTGCAGCAGCACTTCTTAAGCAGGACCATCCCTTTGCATTATGGATGGCAACTTGAACAAAGTGCTGTGTGCTCAGCCACCAGCCACTGTGGCATGCGGCTGCCTCCTCCATTGGCCAAGCCTTACCTCAAAATACTGTATGCTGTAAGGAGCATGGTAATTTCCCAGTCAGAATCTCAAATGGCTAACACGCATGCATCTTTCTTTTAGATTAGACAGCCTCTTTTCGGAATAGCTCAAGCTTCCAGTAACCCCATGTTAGGAACAACTACTGAATCAAACCATACCTATGCTGATAGACAGTATTTCTTCAGATAAAGTAGGGCAGTAACAATCTGCAGTATCTAATTATGGCTAATTTCCTGTTCATCTGCCTAGGTACTTCTGACCCTTTTACTGTAATTCTTGAGCACTCACAACCTTGATCAGAGATTTTCAATAATTTAACTTTAGGGGTCAGCTCTTCAGCTGGTGTAAATCAATGCATTTTCTTTGGCTTTGGAGCTGATCAGAAGGGAGTTGTGATAACTTTTACAAGGAGAAAGTGGTCTTAATTTACTACAGCATGCTACAGCCTCATAGCCCTTTGCACCTGCTCACTCTCTTGAGTTCATTGGCTACTCACAGATCCACAGGTACTGGTGGAAAGAGAGTAGTAAGTCCTTGTCAGACTGAGCTCTTGGAGAAAGTGCAGAGATAAACACACAGAGTATTTTTGGATATTACTCATCCCTATACAACGGAGACCAGCATACATAAACTTAACAAAAAAATTTTTAAAAAGCATCTAAATCAGGTGCTCAAGACCACCTGACTTGTAAGATTAGAAGACAGGGACTCCTGCCTTGTGCCAACCCTGTTTAGCAATCGAGGTTGAAAGGTCACACAAAAGGAATTTAGGCTCAATTGACAAAAGATTCAGCTGAGCTTTTTGGCCTAGAAGTTTTTGGGCTTTGTTTTTGATTGCTGCTTAAGATAGAAAGAAGTTGCACAACTAAATGAAAAAGGGAATGGGTGGAGAATTAATTGATAGCATCTATTTAAGAAAGAGGCATAAGTGAATATCCACAAAACTTTAAATCAGATTCTGAAATGATACATACAGCGAATGGATGTTTCTTTGCCACAACTGTGGATTTCAAGAGCGTGCCCCAAATGCAAGTTAAGCAAAAGCCATAATATTTTCTTTTCTGAAAACACTGCATCTTTTCTCCACACTTGCCTGGCTCCACAGAAGAGTGATTGACTGGGAGAACAGGAACTTATGGGGAGATGCCAGCTTTTATTTGCTACAGGAGGTTAAAGGTTCCCTAGAGCACAAAGGAGCTTTTCTTGCCCAGACAATCCCATCATGGTATACATCAGCACAACTAAAGCCTGCAAAGCTCAGAAGCAGTCCAGAGATATCTGGTGAAACTTGAAATGAATTTTTTTCAAACATTCACTAGTTTTTGTCCATGCGTCCACAGGTCAATATTTGGCAATAGAAATCTACTAAAAAAATAGCAGGATCTCTGATTTCTTTTAAAGTGACATGCACAGCAACTCACATAGCTCTGAGTACAGAACCTCAGATATCCTTCCAGCATAAAGCCTGACTTTATCGTGCTGCAAAGAGATTAATAATAATCTTATCTATTGTGAGTTGATGCAATTTCTTTTTTTTCCCCCACACACCCACACTGCTGTTTCCTTCTGATCTGCATTTGTAGCTTAGCTACTGTTTCGCTGAAAGGAAGGAATCTGGTAATACCTTCCTAAAAAGATGCCTATACTGTGGCGGCCTGCCTGTCCCAGCCAGTGACAAAGAATGGAGATGTCGGCTATTCACAAAAGAAAATAAAGAACTTTTTTTCCAAACATCCCAAGAGATGTAACCTCATTATAAAGGTATTTGGTGTGCATTCCAAGTTAAAAGAAACTAAGGTAAGGCTGAAGATCTGAAACTAGCTTCTGCTTAATCAATCATTCTCATTGGATTATAGTTTTTGAAATGTATAATTATAAACAACAGATTGAGCAACACTCAGCTGAAAAAAAAAGGGGTGGGTGGGGGAAAGTCACCCTGATGATGGGTATTTTCTCTTTGGATGTGAACCAACCTTCCCCCCTTGGTATTTCATGTTTCAGCATCGGCTGTTAGGCAGCTTGGCAGAGCACGACGATGGCATCACCCCAGGTGCGAGCGGAGCCCCTGGGCCAGCCGGGCGCCTGAGGCCGGCGGCTGTGCCGCACCAGGCTGCTCTCTCTGCCGCGGTCGACCAGGGAGAAGGCTTTTCGTCGGGAGCAGGCACCGAAGTGATGGGCTGAACTTATGGGAGGAACCAGCGCCCAGCCAGGTGGAGATTCAGGGGCCCGTCGGGAGGCGTGAAGGGCCCGGTTTCAGTAAGGGCATGGCCAAAGCTTTCTTCAGGCTGCAGAAGTTTCTCCGTCGGACCCAGTTTTTGCTCTTCTTCCTCACAGCAGCTTACCTGATGGCTGGCAGCCTTCTGCTGCTACAGCGGACCCGCTTGGTTATCCAACAAGGTTTGCGTGGGACCTCCGCTAATCAGGCCCTGTCGGTGCCAGACGGGATGGCTGGGGTTGGGATTGTAGACCCCAGGATGCTGCAAAACCCCCGCCCTGGTCCCAGGCTGCTGGTGGGCATGGACGCACTGCAGGAGCCGGCCCTGGACCAGCGGCACAGCCCGCGATGGCTTGTGTCCCGCAACTCGGAGCTCAGGCAGTTGAGAAGAAGGTGGTTTCACAGGTTCATCAGCGATCAGGAGCCCATGCAAACAGTGGGATTTAAAGCGATGAAGCACACTGCTGAACACAAAGGTAAGGGATGTACCCCTGCCCTGTTTTCTGGCACGCACATAAATCCTAGGTCCCAGGCAGAGACTGGAGAGCCCCACAAAGTCTGCCTGCAGAAACGCCTTCTTCCCGGCTCATCACCACTTTCAAACCGGTTCTTAATCGTATGCACAGGCCAAAGTACAATCCTGATGTCTCTGGTCATGCTGAGCTGTAACTTTCTCCAAAAATGTATTTTTATTGATTGAATGGAAGCCCAGACAGTGAAATATGCTTCCCTAATTTGAATTATTTTCTCTTCAAGCAGGCAGAAATGAACACTGTTTAATTGATTTTCTTTCTCAGAACAGGGAACACTTTAAAAGCGGGTTTTATTAAATTAACTATCCAAAACCACACAATAACTTGTCTAGAAGTGCCTCCTTGCTGCTACAGCTTTCTAGCATATACTAAATTCTGCAATTGCAAACACATTCGCTGTTCCTGACCTGCCCTCTGTGGCCATCTCTGCAAACACACTGTCCTTAAGGGGACAAGAAGTGGGCCATACAACCCTTCTTCCCTTGCCATGAAACAAGAACTCCTGGATCAGAGACAAACTCCTGGTGTTTGGCGAATTTGCTGGAAATTTGCAACAGGCCAAGGGAATTCCACCACTGCATGGGTGCAATCCACCAGCGGCCAGAGCACACCGTACAAAACTGTACGTTTTCCAATCCAAATGGAAAGCCATTCAGGTTTGACAGAAATCTGAGTTCACTTCACTGTGAGCCTGATTCTGTTGCCCTAACTGCTGCTGATAAATACGTGCATGGACTGCTTTAGTTTGTTTAGTAGGAAAGCTTGTAAGAAACTATTATCCAGCCCAAGCAAAGAAGCAAAACAGGAATCTGTAGATGTTCACATTTCCTGCATGGCTTTATTCCCTTATGACCCACCACAGAGAGCTGCATCATCCCAGGTGAGTGTGGGACGGCACCCCCTCGCTGGGCCCACGATGGGCTCCGGGGAGGTGCACAAAGCTGGGTGCCCAAGGTCTTGGGCTGTTACACAGCTGAGCTGCTCGCTGTGCAGTGGAGAGCTGGAGCCCCAACTGTGCCGTCACCTCCACAGGCTGAGCGGCCCCAGGGAGCAGATAAGCCCCCTTGAGGAGCCCAATACAGAAAGCATCAGGATTCAAGCTAGGTGACTGACCATGCTCTCAAGGCTGCAGCATCACATTATGACTTTGCAATCTTTGATCCATTGCCTTTTAGACGAACTAGTTGTTCTTGGTGATGTTTCACTGACAATAAAAAAAGGAACGGGAACTGGATGACTAGACACCACATTACTAAACTGCTCTTTAGTTTGTTGAATAAATTTACCCAAACAAAGGGGCACCTTCTGCAAAAATCCCACAAAATGGGTGCCACCTCGTGCTCTTACTGAGTTAATTGTTAGAAATGGAAACGAGAAGGTGATAGTAATGGTGTATGGGCGATGAGTCACACAGCGTGAGTCAGGCAAACGGTAACCGCTGGAGCTACCTGAAGCACCAACGGGGAGCTTCCAAGAGTGCTCCACAGGCGCTTCGTAACATCCTGTTGCTCGCAGGTTTTGGTGGCAGAGAAGAGAGGCTACAAAGCGCATATGTCTCCCAGGGAACCCCACTGCATTTCGTGACTTGCCCCGATCACATAGCCTGGGTGCTCAGAGCCTAATGACAGCCCCTGGGCTAGCATGAAACACTCCATCCTGTGCGCCAGAGACCAAGCCTGGCGCAGAGGAAAGGAAAGCTTTGGGGAGGACCCCTGTCCCCATCCCCGTCCCCGCTGGGAAGGGCTGGACGCAGACACCGCTGGCTCTCTGCAGGAGGAAGACGCACCTTCACCTTCAGCAAATATGTCTTTTGCTGACATTGATCGCCACCAATAAGCTCTTCATGGACAGTTGCAGAAAAGAATCACACAAGCCCTCCAGGCTACCACTTTCGTACCTGTACCTCATAAAACCAGTATTTAATATTCACGAAGTATTACTTTTTTGCAAGCAGCAGACACCCTGATCTCAGCTGCTCAGTAGAGGCTGACGATTTAACCAGGAGGGGGGTCAGGCGGGGTGTTGCCTGGGCAGGCTTGGTGTTCCATGCCGGGAGATTTGAGGGGGCGGGGAGGAGAGAAAGCAATACAGTAAAATAGGGCACATTATGTTCCCTTGCTCTGGATGCCCTGTGATTTGTTAGAAATGGAATGTGCTGCATGTGCTCTGGCAGCACAGGTAGTTTTGGCATGTTCCATGAAGTAAACCTGGCTTGCTGAACTCAGCAAGTGCCCAGGAGCTCTTTGGCTTTGCCCTTTCCCCAGTTCCACCTGTGTAAAGACAGCATGCCTGGCTCTCCCTTCACGGACTGCAGCTGCTTGGGCTGCTCTAGTCGCCCTTGCGTTTGGTGGTTTTTTCTCCCCAATGAACGAAAGAATAGATAAAAAGTAGAGAAACGTGGCGAGTCTTTATGAGCTACTCTAATACCAGGCAGAGTATGAACCTGTTCTTTAAAATCTTCAATTAAAACAAAAAAAAATCAATTTTAAAAATTATCCATAAAGTTAATTAAGGCTAGTGCAGGTATCAGCCATTAAGCTAGTGCTTTGCTCAAGTTCTAACTGCTGACTGAGAGGAGTCAGAATGACTATTTATTGCTACATCCCACTGAATTATGTTGATTCAAATATGCATCATTTGAATATCTGACTGAACCTGAAGTGACGTTATTAATAACAGTATTGTTAACAAGCATTGGAATGCCTTTGGAAATTATTATCAATTAAAAATTTAACTATCTATGTAGAGCATGTTATCTCCCCCCCACCCCCACTTCTCCTAGTAAACTTACAGGCTTGTTATTTCATTATGGATTCCTTCCAAGATATAATGAATTCCTCCGTGGTTATAATGCTTGTTAAAGTTTCAGCGTTGGCCTGTGGTTCCCGCTCAGTAAAGCGGCACATCGCCTTACCGCGGAGGCTGTATTTGTGCATTCCTCATCAGTGCCATCCTAGTAACGCCCATGCTTCCCCATGCGGCACGGCCACTCTGCCCCTGCTCATGCAAAGGCATTGCAAGACAGTCCTCTGGGCTTCCCGGGGCAGACCCTTAACCTGAGACAAAAACCATGGCATCTGCTCCAGCATATTGTGAACGCCTCCCGGCTCGCTTTGCTTTGCTCTCTGTCCACCCAGGATCACACGGCCTTGGGTGAGAAAATTCAAGTCCTTTTTTGTTTTCCTTTTCCACATCAAGCTATCTTGCCTGCTTACATTGCAAGTGGCTCAGGGCAGGGACCACATCTTGTCCTGCCAGGGAGACTGGCAAATACTATTACTGCAACAAATGAAAACAGGAATTTGTGAGGTAAAAAATGAAAATGTTCTGTTATGAACGCTTCCAGCAGATGGGGTTTTTCATACTGTTTCCCCTGGCCTGGTTATGCCATTGCACAGGATGCAGAGGTGACAGGGACTGGGTTGCTGATGTGACGTGACGTTTGGCTCTAAGGCTGGGGAGTCTCTCCGTGACTCATTCATAGGAGGATGTGAATGAGATATTGGTGCCGGGCTGGCGGCGGCATGGGAGGGACGCAGGGAGGAGGGCAGACACCGCCCGTCTCGGCTGCCCTGCCCGAGCCTCTCAACTCGGGCTCTTCGGCCCCCCACACTGAGTTTTCTGCTGCTACTGGTTTGAATCAAAGTACCCAAATCAAAAGTCTTCAGTAAAATGCAGAACATCCTCATTGCACGTGTGTGACTCCCATCTTGTTAACAGCGTGCTGTGGGTGTATATTCACAGCTTGTGAATTTTCTAATTGCATGTTTGCAAATTACTAATGTGCAGGTCTTTGAAACTGCTGTTGTGTTTGTAATATTTAAATATTTGATTTATTATTCCTAGCTCCAAAATCTCTGTTAGAGTGGCCTGAACTTTCTTTTTCTTGTGGATTATTTTACTGTTAATATAATGCTTTTTAGGTTCATTTTTCATCATATATTCTCTTCCTATCCACAGCTCATGTTATTTAATTTCCCTGTGTTATCATCTCAATACTGCTACTTCTAAAATCAAATTTCCTTTTTTCCTTCATATTTTAATGATAAAATGTACTTATATACACACAATTGTTGTATAATAGTGGGTCTCTACATCATCTTTCCAATCATATATTAAAACATGGGCTGGATTTTTATAGTATTTTGTTCGTGACCACAAAAAAGAGGCTTAACATAGGATGCAGTCTAAGAGAAATATTTATCTTTCATATGCTAAGTAAAGCAAGACGTACTTTAAAAGACTCATTTGCACTGGAGAAAAAGAGATAGTTCAATGCGATAGCTAGACAGTGCTGCCTAGTTAAGACTGAAGTTATCTTTCCATTATAGCTTTAATATAACTCTGTGTACCCAAAGAAAATTGATTTTCTTAATATTTCTCTTGCACCATCTTATTCTCAACTAGAGATTTTCAAGAAAACTTGGGAGAAATCCAACAAGATTTCTCAAAGTTTATACCATTTTGAAGACTACCTTCTCCTTTACTTGAGAAATTCTCCATGCTTTGTCACCAAAGGGAGGGAGTCGAGCAGGCAGCAGCCGCCTGCAGGAACTGTGGCTTCAGGGTGGTCGCAGACTCGGTCTGCAAAGGCAGGCCTGCTTAAAGTAACCTGGGTGAGGGAAAAATCTAATTTCCCTTCTGTTCATTTCCATTGGACGTTTGAGTTTAGCCCTTCAATAGCACCTACAAATGTTCGGCACCAGCAGACAGGTCTGCAGAGCAGGCAGGACCCCAGACAGGTTGAGACTTGATTGAACACAGCCCTGCTTGCAACTTAGGGCGCTGAATCGCCGCTGGATGTTTTTTTCCCTTTTCCCCATCTCCATCCCGTGCATGCTGCCTAACTCTGGTCTTGCATGCATACAGGCACCTACATGGGATGCTTCAGTGATGATTCAAGGGAGAGGACGCTGAAGGGAGCTGTGTTTTACGACTTAAGAAAAATGACAGTATCTCACTGTCAGGAAGCTTGTGCTGAGAGGTGAGTGGTATTTTTTCGCTGCAAGTTTTCTCTTTTCTGACAATAAGTGGAACTGAACTTGAAATGGAAAAGCATGCATATGTTAAACATACAGCATCTGTGAAAACCGTGATTATCTCATACCTTCAGGCATGGCATAGCTCTGCTACCTTGCTTAAAGCAGACTATTTCACTGCTGCCTATCCTCTTTATTACAGCATGGCTACTTACAATATATTTTGTGTTGTCCTGGTCAAAAATTACTGTTTTGTTAGATAATCTGTGTTAGATATCGCCCTCTAGCCAAAATCTTTGATCTAAAATATTAAAAAAAACTATGAACAAACTAGCACCAGAACCAAGGGAGAGCAAGACGACCTGGCACGCGGTAGGGAGCGCGGCCATTCCCAGCGCAGCCCGGGGAGCTGCCGGTCATCAGGGAATAGGCAGGCGCAGCTCCTGCCACCGCCCTGCCTGCTGTGGTCAGCCAAGGCAGGGTGCAGACCAGGGATGATCACTAGTACCTGGGGCAGGACTATAAGAAACTATTTATGAAAAAGACTTCCCGTTGCTCCCAAGCGCAAGAGAAAGCAGAAGAAACAATGCAATTTAGAGCTATTCCTGTGAAATGTGCTTCCTTTGGTCCGTAGGGCAACGCAGTGCACATGAAGCCCGTCGCTTTAGGCATGCCCAAACTGCAGCTTGACCCCGTCTTGCTGGCTCTCAGACCCCCCTGTTCCAGCCCAGTCCACTCCACACACAACAATGCTCCAGACAGAGCTGTCCCTTGGGTGAAGGAAACGGTACTCTCCTCTCAGGTAGACAGACCATCAGGCCCCATCAGACACTTTTTGGAGGACACGGAGCCAGGCCCTGGCTTGGTGCGGCCAGCAGAGGTGTCAGCTGTGGGGTCTGGCCGGAGGGACCCTCACGCACCCTGCGTGGGCACGATGCGTGCTTGCCTTTGGTGTGAGAGGCCCAAGGGAGCGCTTTGCCCTGCAGAGGGGACCCAAGGGTCCGCGCAGCACAACCACAGGCTGCAGCCTCCCTGCAAGGGCTGGCCACGAGCCACCGAGACCGGACGGTGGTTTTGCGCAGCGTAGGAGGCGTTGGCGGCCAGCAGCGACCACTCCTGGAGCCAGCGCGGTGGTGGGAAGCAGACCATGGCTTGGGCACCTCAGGAGAGGCAGTGAGCTCTGGGCCTGCTGTTCGAGCAACGTCGTCGCCTTGGTTTGAGCATTTGAAAATTGCCTGACTGGATCCAAAATGCCCAATTTTAAATGCCAGTTAACAGAACCTCTGAAAGGGGCTTCTCTGTCACGTCACTCTTAAACCAGCTGAAATATTTCTAAAGCTGAAATATTTCTGATCAAAACCTGAAATGGTAGCTCTGGGTCGGGGTGTCGTCACCCCCAGCAGCGAGGCCATCACAGGGCTGTCGCTCACACACCCACATCAGGAGGCAAAGCCCACCTCGTCCTCCCGAGGACTGCCCTGGGCCCAGGCAGGCCGCGCCGGGCGGACTCTGACCACCACCACTTCCTGCTGTCACCTGCGGTACGAGGTGGCTGCCCGCCTCGAAGAGGCCGCGCTGGTCCCCGGGGCCTGCTGCGTCTCTGGAGCCAGGCAGCAGAAGCGTACACCGTACACGGGGACAGGCTCCTGCCTTTGTTAGATATAAACTCAGGAATAGATGGGGTGCCGGTACCGACAGTGCCTGGTTTTGTTCCCCGCAGGGCTTACACCTACGCGGGCCTGGCGTACGGAGCAGAGTGCTACTGCGGGAACAAGCTCCCAGCGACCGCCTCAAAGCCCGAGGAGTGCAACAGCGAGTGCAAGGGGGAAAAGGGCTCCGTCTGCGGAGGGGTGAACCGGCTCTCTGTCTACAGAGTGGAGGAGCTGCGGGCAGGAGCGAGACGACGTAAGTGGGTGTGCGACCGGAGAGAGGCGGCTGCTCTCCCCAGGAGCAGTGCCGCAACCAGGCTGAGCGTGTGGGCTGTCTCCGCTGCTCGTCTCTCGCTCCATTTGTCACCAGTTTGAAACAGCAAAGGACAAAGGTGCCCATGGGGCACAGTGTCCATTTGCTGCTGGTCCGGTCCCTGGCTCCCTTCCCAAAATAGCAGCGCTGCTTACCGCCTCGGAGCAGCAAGACGTGCCTGGCACAGCTGCCTGAGGGCTGCCACATAGAAAGTTAGTGTCACTGGGGAAGAAACAAAATACAGTGCAGAGCGATTGCAAGGGCAGCAGAATTTCAGCTCAGGAAAAACTACTCCCTTTCGCATCCACTGCAGAGGGACAAACCCCCACGCGTTTAAGAAACAACCCTGGAAGTGGGTGCCTTATAATGGAAGGGCAGAAAAGCACTTGTATCAATGCCACCCTAAGCTCAGAAATGATCCCAAACAAAGTAAGTGCCATGTGACTGCAGCAGGAGAATAAGTAGAGGCCAGAGAGAAAGGCACGCCAATCTGTCTCCTAAATGAGCAAAATGAAATCAAGAGAGTTTTGCTCTTCCAAGGACTTCTGTTCTAGCGGTGGTTGGGATTGTTGTTTAGATGACAACTTACTCTACTTCTCATTCAATTAGCTACCACAGGAGATAGAATAGATAAACCTTTGGGCCAACACAAAGCACATAAAATATCTAACAGCTGAGTAGTCTTTACTTTTGGCAAGCTCACAAGACCTTAACGGATGTTATTTGCTGAGAAGAAGCACCAAGACCTTAGGTTGTGCCAATATTGATGGTACTTCATTTCTTCTTAAAGACAAGTCAAGGTTTGTACAATAATCCACCCAGCTACATATAAATTATATATCAAAGGTACATAGACCTAAATTGCTAGTGTCAGGTTGACAGGCACATTGGCAGGTTTCCCGGGACATGCATCACTGTTTAAATCTTCAGCATAAAATATATACACATATTTCACAGGACAAGGCGGCATTTATTTTTTCTTAAGTATTAATGAGTTAGTCATCAAATTAGTCTAGCCTGGAGCTAGATTTGTATTTTGTTTGCCTTTAGTAATATCTGATATTTGACTGTTTGAAGAATCCCACTGACACAAGCTAGCTGAGGGGCCAACAGAAGTATTAATCACGATGAACAAGTATACTGGGAAGTAACTCTGAAACTGTAATAGCATCCGTGATTTACACTATGCAATATAGAGAACAGACCTCACATAAGGCTTCTCCTTATGCAGAGCAGATCCAGTGGCATCTCCATTTAAACCTTCCTAGACATGGGGTTTGCTGGCTCTCTTCTCCGTTCCTCACCTTCCCCTTCCCACACTGGCTCCCTGGGTGCCATGAGCCATGCAGCTCCTGTGCCGCAGGACTCGTGCCCCACGTCACGTTAAATGCAATGAAGCTCAAAGTCTGCAGCTATTGCAGCCCGGGGATCGCTATGTCAGAGTGCCGTTTTCCTTGGGGCAGGATTCAGCCATCCTTCCCCAGAAAGCAGGCAGATGACGTAAATACAGCACATTTCTAGTGTGATCTGTGGGTTCTCTGCAAACCCTGCTCCCTCCCGAGTGCCAGTGTGAGCAGTTCAAGCTTTCTTCCTGACACACTACGACAACTCTAAACATGTTCATAAACATTTTGTTTCAGGAATTATAGTGTGAGATTTAGTAGGAAGTCTTTCAAGAGCATCCCAAGAAGCCAAAAAACTTCTGCTCCTTTATTCCTTGGTGCCATGCTTGCAGTGATCTGGTCCCAGGGAGACTCCTATTTCCCCCCAGCTTGCATCGAGTTATTTTATTTTCGCATCTCCTGAGTGATCCCAAAGATAGAGCACTCCTTCTAGTAACTGGTTTCAACAGTTATTAGAACAATATTTAAGCAGCTTCTCCTTAGATTGCTCTTGGCTCATGCTGGAGGATCTGGGCCCTTCTGCAGGAAATTCATGCAGAACCAAATTTTTCCTTCAAAACTGCACTGCATCTCTCCTGTCATCCAACACATTTCCCACATCAGTTCTGGTGAGTATTGTTTAAAGTAGCCAGTGGGTGCGGACCAGGACTCAGAAGACCCAAATTCGTTCCCAAATCTACCTTTCTCCCTATTGAGTCATGCTAGGCAAATGCTGTCAATAGAAAGTTAGTACACCGCAATAAAGTAAACGCATTTTCCACTTTTGTAAAGCCCTCAAAATCCTAAGAATTACAGAAGAGTCGTACAACACGCAGACTTCTTTCTTTTTCTAGCCAGCCACACAATGTTATTTTCTTCATTACCATTAGTTCATCTGTGCAAATGCATTGTCTCACCTGAGGTAGTGAGTTTCCATAACAGCTTTGGGTTTTTGTTTGGTTCTGTCAGGGGACATTTCTCTCTTAAGCAGGAGGGAAAATTGTATTGCTACTTGTAACAAGTATTTGCGCCAAATCCTGACTTCAATCGCAGTGATGCAAAAAATGGAGCAATTCTGCCAAGCTCTGTGGCATTTATACAGAGGCAGGTGAGATCAGAGGCTGAGCTAAAGACTCGAAGAAAGCTGTTCTCCCTGAACAGCTTACAAAAGCCTAGTTTAGATTTCGAAGCCTGCAGCAAACTCCCTTGCCCTGAAAAGGAGTGGGAAGAGGAGAGGGATAGCTCAGCAACTGAGCAGATGTGCAGGAAGGTGTGTCCCTGTGGGGGCTCTCAGGATTCATTTGAATTCCTCTCCTTTTCTGGTGCAGATCATGGGAAGCTTTGTAGATTTTTATCGGGGCTTTTAAGTCTTTCAGGGGAAAGCACATCTTCAAAAGAAAACTGGGACTTGCAAACAATAGCAATGCCCTCCACTGGTGGAATTTAATTTAAACTCTTTGCTGCAGCCCTACTTTCAGTGGTTAGTACAAAGCTAAAGGCATGTGCTCCTTTTAGTACCACAGGATTTGCAACACATTTTTCTAGTGTATATCATGGTTTCTCTTATTTCTACAGCATTTAGAATACAAAATTTATGTTATTATTTTTAGCTTCTGAACCTAATATTGTTCTTTGTGAAAGAGGCAGGATACTACGGACATTGTTTTCTCAAGAGAAACCTATTTCATATCCCTGCAGGGAGGAATGTTATCTATCGAGGATGTTTTAGAGCTCCAGAAAATTTAACAGACACCTTTCCAGCCTCTTTGATACAGCCCAATTTGACGGTGGAGATGTGCTCTGAATTTTGCTCCAAGAAAGTAAGAACAGTTCTCATTTCACATCCTTTCTTCTTTTTTGTTATTTTAAATTTTAATCTATTAAGGGAATAGCAGAGATTAGTGCCTTAGAGCTTTGAATTTGTAAATGAGTTTCTATAGGACAAAACTCATCAGAGTAAATACCCAGTGATGCATCTGGTCCAACCACTCTCTCGAGTGGGGAAGGCGGGAGGGAAAGCTATCAGAGTGATGCCACTAAATACGATGCACAGAAAAGCCGTTCTAAGTGACGAGTATCGACCATGGGGAAATCGATACCATTTCCATGTCACATTTAAACCAAGCCCGGAGCCAGATCTGACCCCGGGGGAGGTCTCGATGGCTGCGGCTCATGGGGAGACATGCTGCTGGAGGGTGGATGTAGGCTGAGCAGCACCCAAAACATGGCTCCAGTGCCCTCCGGGGAGCTGGTTCCCACTCAGCCCTCAGGGAGCCACGTGCAGTGCGTGGGCAAGGCAGGGAGAATCAATCCCCAGCACCCTCCACTTTGTGCAGACCTGTCTGCTCCCCTCCAAGGTGGTCCTTTTGGTCTAAAGTTCCTTGACAGTGCAGCAGCAGGCATTGCCATAGCGAACAAGAGGATTTAATGCTGAGGTATCTACACACAATTTTTACACCAGTGTGTAACTATGTTGGCTAGGAACGTGATACAATCTTAAATGTAAAAAAAAAAAAAAAAGCTGCCAGAGAAAAATTTTAGCAGATAAGCACACTGAAAGCAGGTGGACTTTCCTGGTACTTTTATACAGATGTGTCTCTTTCAACACCAGAAGAATTTATACCACTTTCACTATAACCTGTGTAATTTAAATGTAATCTATTTTAATTTAAAATGGAATCATTGTAGAACTTCATGCTGATATCTAAGACTACACGAAAGCAACGAATAAGGTCAGTTGTGTGCTTATTGGCTTTGGACAGAAGGTGAGAAGGGACATACTAACATCCACTGTCCTTGTGCATACTCTTGGCCTGAAGCATCACCTTTGCTCATCCTCCACACTTATCACAGACTAAGACCATGGATTTCAGAACTGAAGGAGTTTGACTTTGATGGACTCGGGTATCCTCACAGGAGGGAACATTTGGCCCAGGGCATCCTCTGCTTTAGTGGCTGTTGCTGAGGCTGGTTCCCTTCCCTTCCTTCCCACTCCAATGGGGCTTATTTTTTTGTACAGAGGAGGGTTCACTGTGTGGTCAGATTTAGCCTGCAGCCACATTCAGCCTCATGCACTAAACTGAACATTCAATTACTTTGTCTTCTAGCATCACAAAATTGATTAAAACTATTAAGGCATGAACAACAAACCTTCTTACTAGGTAGAGTGGGGAAGCTTTTCCCAGTCAACATATCCTCTATACCAGCTCATCAGTGTTTTAAGAATGCATCACGAAATTAACTCAGTACAGCGAATTGCAATGAATCACCCATATACCCTGTATATAATACCTTACAAACATGCATACAAACACACTCTCACATCCTCTATGCATATAAGTGTTCAGTAAAGCAGGACTTCATGAGCAATTCTTTCCAAGCTGTGCCATTAATCTATTGTTTAATGGTGGAAAAAAATCTTAATCTTTCTGTGTCAGTTTATCCTCATGTAACATCATTTTATTAATATTTACTGATGAAGTGCAATTAATTATTGCTTCTCTATCTGGGAGAATGATATGAAATATCTGGAGAAGTTGTTTTCAGATGTGCTCAAACATGAGGTCAATGTTTTTAAGCACAGTCATGCCATTCTGGTTTGGGGAGATTACTTTTCTAAATAAGTGGGTTTTCAGAAGTGTAGTTCCTTCAAGGTTTTCTGGCCGTGCAGCCAAAAAGTGGAAGCATCTGAAATTACTGGTGACTGAGAAGGGTAGGAAAAGGACCACAACCAAAATATACCATGTTAGCGTGACATTCGAACAGGACCAGGATAGAGGAGAGCAGCAGGATGGAGGAAACTGTCCATCTCTGCAGAACAGCTAATGCCTTCCCAGAGTTAGAGTCAATGCATATTTGCTTGACAAAGGTTGTGTGAGAAAGCCATCAGCAAACCAGATACTCTAAAGGATTATCTAAACAGACTCCTTCTGCACAGAGAGCATGGAGAGGGCTGCAGAAATGATAACATTAAGAGGAAAAGGTACTGAAGGAAGGTGAAGAAAAGGTTTGGTACCGTTCTCATTTATTCCTTCCCTAAAATGGTGCAGGTAACAATCTGCTTATGCTTTCCCCCCTCCTTTAGCTTTGCTAGGCACCATGCTACCCTTTGGAAAGTGACTATTAGAGAATATTTGCCTACAAAAAGACTGGCAAGGTCTCCCTCCACTTAAGAAGCAGCAATTGCATATCCACAAGTCCAATTGTTACACGCTGATTTGAGCTTTAACTCTAGATACCAAAATAAGTCCTATTATGACACTACAAACGTTTGTTCTGACTTTGGTTCCTTTCCTTTCAAAATAAGATGGACAACTTCCTAGCCGATAGCAACGTACTTAGCTCTCCTGAAATCAGGAAGGCACTGTCATTTTAGTCCAGCCTGTTATGCTGAAAGGAATTATCCCACCAATTTCTATGTATCCTGAAAAAGCTAGTGGGCTTTTAAATGGAACTAGTTGGATGCTTAAACAGATTAATAAGTCTTTTGCTCTTTGGGACTTAGAAGAAAAGCAAATTGAAGCATACCATATTTATTTGTTAGCCTTGCAAATTGCTTTGTGCAGCTGAAATGGTAGCTCCAGCCCTTGGAAGCATTTGAGATATGAATTTGAGGTAACAATTTCAGATGAAACCTGCTAAATACCCTTAATTATCAACTTCTTTCTTAATTAACAGAGTGATGACATGGCTTAATAGCAACCCTTTATCACCCCATAACACAGATCCATGAATGTGTTTCTGTGCTAGGTCCCTTGGCCAGAAGCCATAATTTTCATATATGCTCTTTTATAAGCCAACCTGCATACTAAACGAGCTGTCTCCATTCAAATTTATAATTTTAAATAAACAGTCCTTTTACCACTCAGCTGCTGTATACCGTTATATATGAAGATATGAGTAAAATCTGGAAGAACACTAAGTCTGAGGAGAGAACCCCAGTATCTCAATGCATCCAAAAGCCATGCCAGCAAGTTTGCACACTTGAACATGACCAACTCTAAGGTGCTTTTTCTTTTCTTTATACAACAATACGCAGAATACAGCAATCTTCTTATTTCAAAAACAGACCTATTTTGGATTCCAGATGTAGCTCCGTGCCATTATTTATTCATAAACAAAAGACTCCTGGGATTTTAATCCAAATCCCATTGTAGAATTCATCCAGAGTGTTTCCATAGCTTCATTTAGATTTTTTTTTTTAAACACAGTAAAACAAAGGTAAGTAGGCCAGAACCTCAACTGGTGCAGATAACCACAGCCTTGCTGACTTTATTGCAGCAGTGAGAGAGGAGGATTTCAAATCAGGTTCACGTTGGGTATAACAGTGCACTGAGGAATTGTCCCCTGGCCTCAACAGATCACAGTGTAAAACAAGCCAGAATTTTTATGCGAGAGCGTGATTGGCTTTATGGTATTCATTCTTTGCTTTTAGCATATCCAGTTCAATGAAAACTTGAAGAATAACTTCTAGGTTTGTTGCAAAATGAACATGCCCATTTTTAAATAAATAAAACCCATCATTTTTACTTGGGAGAGAAGTTTCCTTCCATGATTAGCCCCCCATCTCTGGTAGATTGATGCTTAACTGCGTCAGATGGAAGAGTTAGTATAGGAAGTTGGAAAAGAAAGCGATTTAGCGGAGTAAACAGAGTAGAACCAATTAAGTGTATTTTTAATCTAGTCATAATTCTTAATTTGAATACAATCTAATAAAAAACAATTAGTGATTGAATCATCACATCATCTGTGTTGCTATTGGAGAATGACTGCTTACAGCACTTAAACTACCTGTTGAGGCTTCATCTAACAAATTCTTATGTAAATAGTCCCATTGACATCAACTCCCACTGAATTACAGCTTGCAGGATGTATACCTGAGCCTGTCAATGCATGCTCTAAAGCTCAATCCAGAAAAATACTTATTCATAGACCCGCAGATTTTTCTGGTGACACTCTTGTGTTTAACTGAAGTGAAGCATCGCAGATTTGTATGCACTGAGCTTGAAGACTAGTTCTGCACTTAAAAGTTAGACGGTTGCTTAAAGCCATAACCACAGCTTGGGGCATACATAAATACACAGGTGAGCAAAGCGGATGGCTTGTAGTTTTGATTAAATACTGATGGGAAGTCAAGATTGAATACGTTACTTTGCAATCACTTTGTGCACTGCATCAGGTAAACGCACAGTCCGAATAACCAGCTGCTGATTACAGCGCTTTGCACCAACGCTGTGGATCCTGGTGCGATTCCCAGAACTACTGTCGCGCTTCTTTCACTGCATATGCTGCCATCACTGAAAACTTGAAACTTTTGCTTGTGAAGCCCACTCCCCATTTCTCCCCTTAGAATCATAGAATCATTAAGGTTG